GCCGGGGCGGGGCGGAGAATCGACGGAGCCGATTCGATTCCGCGTGAACACCAACGGTCGGATCTACCGTTCACACACCACCCCCGCGTCGCTCGCTCCCTCCGCTTCCGCTTCCGCTTCCGCCTCTTCGTCCGCCGCCGCCGCCGCCGCCTCCTCCTCTTCCTCTCGTACGCGTCATTGCGTGATCCCAAACTCGCTATCGTTACAGGATCCCTGCGAGCCCACGGATCTTCTGAACAGCCCCACCATTGGCCGATCGATTCCCGAGCCAGGTAATGACACGTCAGCGCCGGCGGCGGCGACGTCATCGTCGTCCGGCGTCAGCCCGCCGAACCGCGGCGAACGGCGGCCGACGCGCCAGGTGTCGTTTAACGAGCTCGTGCGCGTGCGGCGCATCCCGCGGCACTTTTTCTCCGCCGATATGACGGCCGCGGCGATGGATCTCGTGAGCGGGAATGATCCGACGGCTGGGAACGCGACGGGTGGGAGCGCGAGTCAAGGAACGGCCGGATGGCAGTCGATCAACGGGGTCCACGCATCTTCCGCCGCTTCCGCTGCTCTTGCGCAAGGGCCGGTGGGGGCCGAGTCGCCCGGCGGAAGGGCGGGGGGAAGGAAGGGCGAATCTGCGTCTGCGCCTGCGCCTGCGCCCGCGCGTTCTTCTGCCCATGCCGCTGCTTCCGCCGCCCCAACGCAGCCCAGATCCGCCGCGCCTACATCTTCTCCCGCCCCTGCTCCTGCGCCTGCGCTCGTGCCCACGCCTCCCCCTGGGTCTTCCGCCGGCGGGGCGGGGGGCGCGCGGAGAGTAGGCAGGAGCGGAAGTTGGTCGTCAACCGGCGGCTCGGCTGCTGCGCGAAACGCGCTGCCGAGCGGAGCGAGCGACGGGAGTGGCCGCGACGGTAGCAGCGGTGGAATTCGCGCTGCTAACAATAACGGGATCAACAATAACGGGGTTTCTCCGACTCCCGCTACCACTCCAACTAATCGGGTGGGCGGAACTGGCGTTACTGGTAGGGGAAGCGGCGTAACAGACGGAGAGGGCAGAGTGGGCGGCAATGGCAGTTATGCGAGCAGCAGCGGCAGTACGGGTGGCGGCAGTGGTATGGGCGGCAGGAATGCGCCTGCTTTCGGGGAAACAGGTGGCAGGGGTGCAGCTGGGTTGGGTGCGGTTGGGTCGGGTGCGCCTGTCCGGCACGCCAGGAGCCGTAGCTTCGTTGAACGTTCAGGCAACGATGTTGCACGCATGGCCGCGTTGGCAGCAGCGGCAGGAGGAGTAGCAGGAGGAGGGGGAAATGGGCGGGGAGCAGGGGGGGGAGGGATCGTTGCCAGGTGCAGCAGCGTCAGCCTCTCGGATCGCCCGACGGCTGACGTCAGCAGTCGTAGCGGCGGCAGCAGCAGCAGCGGCAGCATCCCCCTGCGTAGGAATTCCGACCGTCCAGAACGGGCGAATCGATCAGAGCGATTCGAACTATCAGAGCGCGCTGAGCGAACAGAGCGATCGGAGCAATCAGGGCCATTGGATCGCCCCGGCTCGCGGAACCTCTCAGTGTGTCCGCCTTCCCCAGGCACTCGACGCGACGCTTTCCTAGGGAAACCGGAGATGAATGGCTGTAGCAGCGCTGGCAGCACCAGCAGCAGCAGCACCTTCAGCAGCAGCAGCAGCAGCAGCACGGGCAGTGGTAGTGGCACGGGTGGTACGGGTGGGGATGGGGGTAGCGGTAGCACTGTGCGTAACAGCAGCGGCAGCAGCAGCGGCAGTGGTGGTAACCGTGTGCCGGGTCCATCGGTTACCTCGCCGCCCGCTCCGCGCTTCTCCCCACATCCGCCAAGTGCCGCCACTCGAAGCCCCGCCTCATCAGCCCGAGCCGCAGCGGCAGCAGCAGCAGCGCGCGGGGCCCCATCGCACACTTTCTCAGCGGATCGCCTGCCTCTACAAGGGACAGGGACCTTTCAGGGGGTGCCAACGCAGGGGCCAGTTCAGGGTTCACTTCAGGGTTCACTTCAGGGGCCACAGGGGCCACTGCAGCACCCCCCTCAGAGCCCCCACCAGAAGCTGTCGTCACAGGGCCTTCCCCTGCGCTCCCCTCGGCATGCTCGCCACCACAGCATGGGCAGCGCTGCTGCTCTTGCCCCCCACCCCTCCCCTCGCGCTGCTGCTCCCCACGCTACAGCCCACGCTGCAGCCGCTACAGCCGGACTGGTTCCAAAAGGCGCGGGCGATTCTGTCCCTCGTCCGAGAATGCCGCCCAGCGTGCTGGTTGGGATCTCTCAGTCGCTTCGCTCGCTCTCGGTTCAGTCGGTTCAGTCCCCATCCACTCCCCGCTCCCCCCGCTCGCACTCGGTTCAGACAGTTCAATCTCCGCCCACTCCCCGCTCCCCAGGCCCGCAGTCCCCTCCCCCTCACTCCCCTCGCTCCTCCGCTCCCCTCTCCCCTCGCTCTTCTGCCCCTCTCTCCCCTCGCTCATTCGCTGCTGCCCCCCTCTCCCCTCGCGCCTCTGCTCCTCTTTCCCCTCGTTCGTTCTCTGCTGCCCCTCTTTCCCCTCGATCTTCTGGCCCTGCCCCTCTCTCCCCCCGCTCATACGCCACCCCTCTCTCCCCCCGCTCATTTGCCACTCCTCTCTCCCCTCGTTCTTCTGCTCCTCTCTCCCCGCGCGCTTCTGCTCCTCTCTCCCCTCGCGCCTCTGCTCCCCTCTCTCCTCGCACCTCTGCTCCCCTCTCCCCTCGCTCGTCTGCTCCTCTCTCCCCCCGCTTTCCTGCCACACGCTCCTCAATCCCACGCTCCAACACCACAACTCGTACTCCTTTCCCTCCCTCTGCTGCATCAGGGTTTAAAGCCCCAGCAGCACCGGACCAGTCACGTGCAAGAAATGCACCAGCTCCCCGCCGACACGTGCGCTCGGCAAGTGTTGCAGAAGTCACGTGCACGTGAAGCCAACATTAGGGTGGCAATACACCGGTAGCACTGTGCTTGTGTGTTGTTTTTGTGGGTTTTTTTACCTCCAATAATTAATTTGGAGGGCCTCTTAAGTGTCCTAAACTGGCCTAGTGTAATTTTTGTTGGGAATTATATTCTGATGTCTGGAGTATATACCTAAAGGCAACATATGTAAAATTATGAAGGGGCCTACTGGTACAAGTGAATTATTACAAAGCATAATATCTCTTGTAAGCTTCCTGGACTTATTTATGTCCAACACCTAGCTACAAAATCTAGAGATCTACTGTAGGATTCTAGGCACCACATTCGTGACATGGCGTGACTAGGCAAGTCTTTTGAGGAGTGTGCTGCGTCACCCGCCAAAAAATGCAATCACCAAGCCAATGACTAGGAGGGAATTTCCGCAGCCAATCGAGGCATGAGATATGAGACGACGCTGCGCTAAATTCTGCGGTGAGGGTGCTCACAGGTGGCAAGTTTTACCTCTTACAAAACAATCCAGGACCGCTCGAACGACACATGGGCAACTCTCATTGGCCTGCCGGATGGGAAACATTGCTTGTCGGTTCTGCAACTGACACATAAGACCCCCAACTCGAAGGAAGAGACCCACCCCACCTGTGCCATCCGCGCATTCGAAGCTGGATTTGCGTGGTTACCCTTGGTGCGAAGATTTGCAACATCCTGCAGAGAAGTGTGGTTTTGGTGATTACACCGAGCTGAAGCTCTCCTTTGTTTCTGAAATATTGACACGCTCTGAATGACCTCAGCAGCATTTCACATCGCTACACGTTTCTTCATGTGTACGAAGGGTGTCTATTCCCATATTTTCATGCACCCAGCTTGTCGTTATCGAGTAACCGATGTGGGAAGCACTGTATTTTGTCCAATTATGTCCAGTGGCTCATCGTTCCTTCACGTCCAAACATTTTCTCTTCTCGCTTCGATGCCCATTAGAACTTAAACCACTAAACCCGTATTAAATAGTGGGTATGGAATTCATTGAAGGTATTGAAATTCTTTGAAGCCTTCATAGATTTGTCCACTGGTGTTCAAAGTTCGCAGCCTCAAGCCCCCAGCGGGAAAGTACAGAAGGACAAAACTACACATCCGTGTACAGAAGTACCTTTGCTTCCTCCCCTCCGCTTCTGTTTGTTCACACCAATCCATCAGGATCAGGTGTGCGTGGTGCGCGGCTTGCTGCTCTGCTGCCTACTCGTGTAACGAACGATGGACCAGCAAGTTCGCTCGAGCAAAAAACAAACATCCCCGCTGTAACGCCCAGCCTAATGCGGCCGCCGTCAACCTCAGTTTTTCTGAGATGACGCCTTCCTGAAGTTTGTCCACCCCTTCCCTGAAGTTTGTCTACCATCCAAGTTTTCGATGTCATGTGTCCGTGGTTCCACCATTGATTTTTTTTCCGAGCAGCGAAGGTTGCGGGAAGGGATCGCTGGGAGAGCACTTACCTCCCAGATTTGCTCGCCACGTGAGCGTGGTGTGGTTGGTGACACTACTGCAGTTAGGTCGACCCTTGAGAAAACGCCAAGGAATACGCGACGGCTATGCACGATCGCCGGATTACGCGCGCTTATTCCATATTAGTGTAGAAGGCGGCTCTACTGTGGGACCATCTTTCGGCATTGCGTTCTCGTTCCGAGCAGCGTCCTCAGCTACCTATCGTCCTAACGCAGAGGGACGTGAGTGTATAATCATGTCGTTCAAAAAGCAATGCACGTAGCTCGAATGGTACTGCCGAATGCCGTACTAAAGAGCGACGCTTAGTACGACTGTTGTTACTCACCCGTGCAATTTTGAAGTAACCGATTAAGAGCTAAATATACGGCGCGTCGTTCGACACGAGCACGCTATCCTACGATCGTCACGAAGAGCTCTCTCCAAGCACCGTCGCATTAGTCGCAGCTGTCGTTGCTGCTGTCGCGGGGGGAGTCGCACGACAGCGCGCTGGCTCGCCGCGAAGCAGCGTCGCACAAGGGAGTCGAGCACGGGTCGCAGACGGGAATCGCAGGCGTCGCAGAGTGGAGTCGCAGGCGATCGTCGCGCGGCGATGGAGCAGGAGTTAGTGAGCTACGCGGGCGTGGCGTGGCGGGGCCGTGTCGTGGCGGATTATGGTCGCGAGACGGCCGCGCTCGCACCGGCTGTTACGGAGGCGATTAAAGACCTCCCTCCTTTCGCCACTCAGCTGTCACTCGTAAGACTGTGGCGCCAATTTCCTCTCCCGTTCCCCCTCCTCTTCGATATCACGCATCTGACACAAATCTCCTCGTGCGTTTTTTTTTTTTTTTTCTACCCTCCGTGTTGGTCTCCTCCTTCGACCAATTGCGGGGCCGCACTCTTCCGTTTGAGACTCTTTCCCCTTCAACCTCCCCACCTCCCACCCTTCTTCCCCCTTCCCTCTCCCTCCCCCCTCTCCCGTTTTACCTCCCACCTTTCCAGCTTCCGTCTCCCCTCCCTCCCCCCTCCCTCTTACCTCCCCGCAACTCAACCCCCGACCCTTCCCCCCTTTTCCCTCCCTTCCCCACAACCCCCCATCACAGGGCTGCGGGCGAGTCTTCGCGCTCATCCAGCGCGCGCGCGACGAGCCTTTCGACTCCGCCGCTGTCTCGGTGAAGGCGGAAGCGCAGCGTCCGAACGGCGCAAACGGCGCGAGTGGCGCGGGCGAATTGTCTGACCGCGCCGCGAACGGAGCGACCGAATCGCAGCGAGGGAGTAACTATAACGGGGCGGTATTCTTTCTGATTGGCTACGAGCCGATGAGTAAAGACCAGGCGCGCGCGCTTCTCGGGCGGACCCGATGCGCGTTTCAAGACGCCGTGATTGCCGCTGGCAAAGAAACTGCTCTTAACGAAGCATCCTCTAACGAAGCTGATCTTTGCGACGACGACGCGTTTCGCGCCTCCATCCGCCAATCGCTTGCCGCCACGTTTCGATGCTTCCGCGGGCGGATCGCCGACGAGCCTTCGGAGCTAATCGTGTATGATGATGCTCCTAACGCGTATAAAACTCGCGTCGAAGAACGGCCTTCTAACGAACACGGTGAGAGTGACAGTAGCGATAGCGACAGTAGCGAATCCGGGAGCGGAAGCGAAGGCGAGGCTGAGGGGGAGGACGGAGGGAGAAAAACGAAGAAAAAAAAGGGTAAATCGAAAAAGAAGGGGAAAAAGGAAGGGAAATGGGACTGGGTGAAAAAACAGGAGGACGCTGAGAACAGAAAGACGCAGCGGGCAGCTGAAAGAGCTAGGGTTAAAAAGTCGGCAGCCGAAAAGGTTGAGGTTGAAAAGCAGGAAGGCGATTCGGAAAACGCGCAGGAAACAAATGGGTTATGTGGAGGGGGGGAAGCACGCGCGGCGGGAGGCGCGGGGGAAAGTAGAGGGGAAAAAGCGGATGGAGGGGAAGCTGACGCGGACGCGCAGCTGTTGGCGCTGAAGCGGGAGATAGAGGAGGCGCAGGCTCAGCTGGAGAGGCTGCAACGGGGGGAGGTAGTAACTGCGGCGCAGGGCGAAGTGAAACAGGACGAGGCGCATCAGGGCGAAGCGCATCAGAGTAGTGTTTCCCAGGAACGACAAGAGCCGGAACTGCTGCAGCAGCAGCAGCAGCAGCAGCAGCAGCAGCAGCAGCAGCAGCAGCAGCAGCAGCAGCAGGGGGAGGTGGGAACCGAGGGTTTGCGCCTGGCTGGCAGAACTTTGTCCGTATCAATCTCCCTGGACCAATATGACGAAAGCACTGACGTCAGCAAGCACCTGCAGTCGTGGCACAAGGAGAATGCAGCTTCGCACGCAACCGCTGATGCGTCGCCACGTGCTCGAGCTGACGTGGCAGCAGCTTCCAGTGATCAAGTGCCAGCTGGCAGTGCCGTCCCAGCCTTCTTAGACGCTAACACTGCTGCGCTGGAGCAGAATCATCCTGGAAGCTTCACTCCCACTTTTAACCATCCTCCATGGGGTGTAATTGGCATTCCTGCAGATGCAGCAGTAGCTAATCCCCCGTCGCTCCACAGCGGTATTGAGTTGTATCTGAGTTACACAAACGGGGATACTGCTGCTGCCACGGGAACTAGCATTGTGGCTGACGTGTCGGCCACGTCAGCAGCGGGCCGTGTCACATCTGGCTACGACGATTCAGCTGATGTCAGCAACAGGCGGCCGCCCAGCTTCTCGCTGGAAGAACCACGAGACGAAAAGTCGGCGGCGCAAAAATCTGATTTCGGGGCGGCAGAAGCTGTTTGCAGCGCAGGACAGACGAATGTTTTTGGGGCAGAAGAAGGAATGAGTTTCCCTGCCATGGTTGGTGCGCGGTCGCTGAAACCCGCTCACTCCAGCAACAGCATTGGCTGTAGCGGCGGCAACAGCACCGGCTGTAGCAGCAACAGCACCAGCCTGCCGGCCAGACTCCTCTCAGACGTCCCAGCGCCGCTACAACCGGGTTTTGAGTCAACTCACAATCAACCAGGAGGAGAAGGAAGAGGAAATGGAGGGACTACAGCAAATGTGGGAGGCGGTGGAGAAACGCTTGACCTGGAGGAGCTCTGCAGGGATTCAGGAGATTTTCCAGGTGGATTTTCAGGTGAATTACCGCGCGATTCTTCGCAGGGAAGTTCCCAGGGGAGTTCCCGAGGTAAGAAAGGGCTGGCATCTCTGTTCAGGTTCAAGACTGCCACGTCAGCATCTGTTGGTAAGTCACCCAAGGGGGGTTGGGGAGGGCTAGGAGGAGAGAAGGTAAAAACTCCGAAGGGGGGGGAGGGAGAGTCAGAGAGTGACAATAACGAGGGTGGTTGTAAAGAAGGTGATTCTAGTGGAAGGAGGTTGACGATATGGGGGAAGGGGAGTAGCAAGGATGGGAGTGGGAAGGAGGGAAGTGGGAAGGAGAAGGGTGGGAAGAAGGGAAATGGGAAGGAGAGGAGTGGAAAGAAGGGCGCTCGCTGCAACAGCAGCAGCAATCTCGCCGCACAGGGCAGTGATACTGACGTACTCGTTATAGACAGCTCCACCAGCAATATAAGCAGCCCGTTAACAGGAACGCCAAACTCCGGGACTCCTCTTGCCGGCACCCCCCTTGCCGGCACGCCCAAGTTGCTCACTCCCCGCTCTGCCACGCTGCCTTTGTTTCAATTACCCGTGGAAAGTAGCCCCCGGCACCACGTCAGCAGTCCCAAAGTCCACGTCAGCAGTCCCAGGCATGGAATCAGCGGCGGCGGCGGCGGCGGGAGAGCAAACGGCAGAGCGAGAGCGTCAGCAGCGGTAACGGCGGGGGCAGCGGCTGCTTGTAACGAGCCGCGCTTTAACGAGGATGACTCGGAAGCGCTGTGCTCCCCTTGCTCTGTTGCCTCATCGTCAGGCACGGGTCTCTCTGTCTCCAGTGTTGGCTTCTCGGCAGCTTCCTCCTCCTCCTCCCTCCTCCCGCTTCGCCTGCCCTCCCCGAGCCGACGTGCCCTTGGGAGCTCCACTCTTTCCTCCTCCGGCCCCGCTCCCCATCCTCCTCTCCTCCCCCCTTCCTCCTCTTCCTCCTCTACCTCCTCTTCCATTCACCCGTATTTCCCGTCCCTCTCCTCCCTTCCGTCTCACTCCATCCCCCATTCCTCCTCCACCGCCTCCTCCTCGTCCGGCCGGCGCCTCTCATTGGACAATGCAGCGGCTCGGATCGACCTATCAGCTTCGCTTATCTCCTCAACTCATTCCCACTCTTCCCGTGGACTCCTGCACTCCCCCTCCCCCTCCCACTCCCCTTCACC